TCTTCAATATTAACTTTTCAGCATGTGGTTTCATGGAGTTTATAAACTGACTCTATAGCCACCTAGGCTTTTTAGGGTCCTACACTGCATCAAAAGTAGTTAATAAAACACTGTCATCAGCTGGAATTGTTATTGTTGGTACAGTAAAGTCTAGGAATGCTGTACAGTAAAGTCAAAATAGGTAAGGTTTCTTAAAGATATTTTGCTGATGTTTGCATACTGTTGGTTTTGACACCCAAAATACCCTTAGTGCAGTGAGATTTATGCATATTCGTGCTTTGGAGGTCTAAGCAACCCTCCACAAATGTGAAAAAGAACCGTTTTTTTCCTTTTAATGAACTTTGGATTAGAATTTAGATGGAAAGCCTACTGTGCTGTAAGTGGAACTTACAGCTGCCTGTATTTCAGTTAACACTTAGCAAGTATCTTAGGACTGCCTATAGCAAAGTTTACTAAACCATTTCTGATTATGGTATTTCCTTTTAACTTTCTTATACCAACTTGATCTGTTCTGGATTTTGGATTAAGTAACCCAGCACTGGATAGTTATCCTAGGTGGGGTAAGGGAAATCGACTTCCTCTACCTGCTTTTGAAAAGCACGGGTTTTAAAAGCTTCAGTTAAAAAAAAAAAAAAAAAAAAAAAAAAATTCCCAAATCTTGGTAGTTGTAATGAAAGAAATTTAGGGAAGAAGGGAAGGAGAGTTGTTTTGCCTGTGTTAGAAAAGATTCTCCAGCTGTCTCGTGGGGAAGCAGTAGTATCCACTAGTGCTGTGCACCAGAGACATACAATTTAGCAGGCTGGAGGGCCTCTCTGTTATTGCCTTCCCATGAAATAACTACCCAGCGCTTGCCTCTTTGTCCTCAGCTGTCCAAACGTCATTGTTTACATCAACCTACCAAAAAAATTCCCCTAGCAACATGCATGCTGCCTTCTGGGACTGTCAGGGCTGAGCAAGACTTTCTTGTGGGCATCCCTCTGGGCGACGCTGGCGTGGTGCTCAGCTGTGGAGTGGAAAGCAGGAGGCTGTCCAAACGTCGTTGTTTACATCAACCTACAGAGACTTTTTGAATCCTTTTGGATAGACTATCCAAAAAAATTCCCCTAGCAACATGCATGCTGCCTTCTGGGACTGTCAGGGCTGAGCAAGACTTTCTTGTGGGCATCCCTCTGGGCGACGCTGGCGTGGTGCTCAGCTGTGGAGTGGAAAGCAGGAGGCTGTTGGGTTTTTAGGGCTTCTCATGCCGAGGTCGTGGAGGAGAGAGCCAGACTTGAAAGCCCAGGGGTGAAAAACATGCAGATGGAGGGATGCGAAGCAAGTGAAATGAGGGACAGGACTTGAAGGCAGGCTAATTCAGCACAAGAAAACCGGGAAGGGAACAAGCAATTGGGTAGGTGCTGGGGGATGCAGGAGGGAGGGAGGAGAGCTGAGAGAGGCCAGGGGAGAAGGGGACAGAGGTGCAGGGCGCACTGGAGCAGGAGCGGTGTGGAGGGAGCTGTGGTCTGGTGGGTGGGGAGAAAAGACAGTTCGAGCCTGGGACTCTCCCATGAAAGACCCCCCACCCTAGCACTGGTTTTAACCAAGGCTACCGCTGAGCCCTGGTATTCTACTTGCTGCTTTTCACTTCAGCAGCTGTGAAGCCTACCAGGCAAATGAGCACCCCCCTTTGCCCGCTGCCCACTGCTTGACCTAATTGTTTACCCCATTATGTGCAGTTTTTGCGTGGGCAGCAGTGATCTCGGAATAGATCCCGACTGGGAATCAACATGGTCCTGTGTAATGATTTGTTTTGATTTCCCTCACCACCATCTTGCATGAGGTTTTGGGGGTTTTTGTGGGATTTTTTGTTTGGTTTTTTTAGCTACAAAATAACATTTGAAACTAAACACATTAAAACTGCTTGGTATTTTACAACACTAACATAATCTCTCTGAATACTGTTACAGAGAGAATCTAACACTATTTGGCAAGTGCTTTGCAATACAAATCAGCTAGCACCTGCCCCTCTCACCCCCACCAAACCAGCCCAACACCCTGACTTCTCAGCAGGGTTTATCTCCTATGTCTGCACTTGTAGCTATTTGCAGGTTTAAAAATACTCTATTTATGTTCTACTAACTTCCAAACAAACTGTCCTCATCTCTCTAGAAAGGCAACAAAATGGCTCAGAAGACAGCAGTCGCATCCTCCACACCCACACCCGCAGGCACACACAGTAGCAGTGCATGCACTTAAGCTGTCTCTAACACGCATAATTTTCCTTATTACTGGGTACTCATCTCTTCCCTTTTCAATGCTTCTAAAATAAAAGATTTAGATGTGCATATGTACACACAGGAGAAGAAAGGAGGAGGTGAAAAATTGAGGGAATTGATTTGTCTGCCTCTAGATCCCTCAAATGAAAGTCTTAAGCAATCTCTCCAGATTCAGGTCCAAATCCTGCGCAGGTTATCAGTTACTAGTGTGGCACACAGAATATTTTGGAGAATAATTGTCATCTATATTTCTAGATTTAAAGTATATCTGTAATAAATGTGTCACGTGGCACAGGAATATCTCTCAGGGGGTGCTTTGCAGTTTGCCATACAAACTCTGGCATATTTAATTTTCTTCAGAAAGGAAGGATGCGTTGTGTCTAACCTATGTAAGCTAATACAATTTACATTTCTTAATAAAAAATACTCATCGCTGTTTTTTAGAGTTATCATTTTCTGTTATATGCAGTAATACCATGAAATCTTCAAGGAATATTAAGCAATTATTTTTCACTCTGTACCTTTACATTAAGTCCATCTACTTTTCATAAGACGTGCTCTTTCAAACCATAAAGTGCTGTGTATGATCCATAGTTTCTTTTCTTGCATTTGTGTCAATCTGGAAAGCTGTAACAGTCCCTTTTCTGTTTAGAAGCTGGGTGTTCGTGCTAAGGTTGGGAATCATTAACATCCTAAAAGTCTCAAGGTTTCTTTGAGATGCCACCTTGATCTTTTACTTAGCTTTTCCAATATTCCCTCTTAGTTTCTCACTACTGAAGTCAGGCCAGGTATTTAATGAAGGTGAATTTTTTTTTTTTTTTTTTTTTTTTTTGCATGAGATGTTACACTGCTTCTGAATATTGTTCTGTTGAGGAATAACATTCAAATGTCCTTCCTTGGGATTATTTTGATATTTCCATTTCCAGCCTAGACTAGGAAAGGAGGAGAAAGCTTTATATGAAAGAAGTCATTAACTTGGGATTTGTAGAACTCAACAGAAGTTTGTCTTTTAGTTGGACTTCCGGTTTTAAGCAAAATTAAGTAATCCAGCTGGATAGTTCATTCAGCTATGGCACTTGAGAATATGAAAAAACCTTTTCCATATGACCACCTCAAACCAACACCAATGTGAGGATTTTGCTCTGTTAGAAACTGTTGGTGAAACTGCATTGAAAGTCTAGAAATAAGTGATATTTCATGAAGCTTTGTTTCTTTGGGCACCCTGATTTATTTTTTTCTTCTCTCAAACCTGGATTTCCAGATGGCGCTGGTATAGAGACAAACAAAATCACTGATTGGAAAATACAACATGGTCAAAGAAAAGGAAAAGAAAGAAAAGAAGGCTTTGCCTTCAGAAAAACCTAGGTGTTTTTTGTTTCCACGATCAACATGACCATTTTATCTTAGGGGAGTTGAAATTCCAGGTCCTTGCTGTGTCCCTGTCCTTCCAGCGAGCCTTGCCCCTCGAGCGGGTGACTGTGCTGTGCTTGTTCATCCTCAGGGAAAGCCTGCCATGGGTCATGGGAGACTGGGGCCAACCAGAGGGGGAAAGGGGAAAAAAGGGAAGTGCCACATTTGAGGCAATGTTCTGTTTAAAACATCTTCCCCCCCCCCCCTCTATTGAGTCAGCTGCTATATCAGGGATTTGGTGTGTGCAAAACTTAAACAGCAGTGGATTGTTCTAATAACAAACTGCGTGAGATCAAGGCTTGCTTTGGATTATTTCAAGAACAATTAATCCTACAAAAGTCAGTTTTGAAAAACATCAGAGAAATGCAATATATCAAACTTATTCACTTAAATCATTTTCGGCCAGCTCCTAAGAGGCCCTGCATAGAGTAGAGGAGGATACAAAGACAAATGCAAGGAAACATTTCACTTTTTCTCTCCTTTAAACTTTCCATTTGGCAAAAAGTTCCAATGGTTTGGTTTTCAATCTTTGTTCAAGACAAAAACAGAGGTCAAACCATAGTGACTTCCTTCACAGCAACAGCTTCTATTTTTTTTTTTTTATCAGCTTTAATGGCTTTTGGAAGTATCATCGTCTTCAGATAGGGTGCATTCTTGTCAAACAGATGAGAATAATACCTCCATTAATATCTTCATTACTTTCTTATATATTTCTTGCCCTTCTCAAATATCCTTGTATTTGTATGTTCCCATACTGATGCATTTTCCAGTACGATTAGTGCCCTCCTTCAGTAGGCTTTGACATTGTGGAATGATCGTGCTGTCACAAATACTAGAATCCCTGAACGAAAATGGTCAGCAGATTAAAAACGTTTGCTTGAAGCTTACTCTTTGGTTTGAAGTTGTGGGGGAAGATATTTGCCTGAATGAATTTTTAATAGATACTAAAAATAAAAAGCTACTAAAGAAGATGCAGCTTGTCTACATTATCATGCAATTTTAATTATGCAAGCATTTATGTTCTTTGTGTATTTTGACTTAGGACCATGTGAGACACATGAGTGAACTGTCACTCATGCAGAGTTAATTTGTCCATATAGGGAAAAAAAAACCCTGGGAAAATATGATAACACTTTTCATTGGCAGTAAACACTAGTTGTTGTTACTCATTTGAGAAAATTATTCTTGGCAGACTATACGAACTCTGTAGTTCAAAGTCTTCCCTGAAAAGAGGTGTATTAGCATGTGGCTAGATCCACTACGGGAATAGATTTTATTGACTAAGGAACTGTATCCCTCTGTACCATAACATTTATTTCATTTTTTCTTTCTCTCGAACAAAAGAATATATGTTGATTCAGTGTTTGGCAATCCAAGCCAGGTTATTTAAAGTACTATTCACGCGGAATGTGCCGAGTGTAATATGCTATTTTTAGAGTAGTTACTTTTATACAGTATTGCAAACAGAAATCTTTAGTTTCCACATGTAATACAGAACCAATTTGTAAAAAGTCTTTAGACTTTGCACTTCTCCTTTTCCTAGGTAAGTGGCAAATAACTAGTTGTCACCGACACATAGGGCAACAAATGGATAAAGCAAGCATGGATTCTGAGATCTATAATTTTTAATAATTTTTAAACTAGCTACAAAATGTCAATCACTTCACAAACTGACAGGAGACATAAGGAATTTCATATTACATGCTGTAAATGATATTTATCTCACAGTTTATCTAGAGTTCATTCATTTAGGTTTTTTTATTATTTTTTAATTAAGTCAGCTACTAAACATCTCAGCGATTTGGTGTGCATAGCTCTAGGTAAGCAACAGAGAACTGTACCGATAACAAACCACATGGGGATAGCAACTAGTAAGAGAGAGCCTTATAAAAATTACATTTCTTTGCACCATTTCATATGGTAGTCGTTTCCTCCAAAAGATAGTCTTCAAAAGCAGCAGACAACCCCAATATATTACACTTATTTCTTTTTGTCTTTGACATATTTTCAGCCAAGCTTTTATTTTGCTGGCAATGGCTAAATGGTGAGTGCCAAATCCCTCTTTTTTTTGTAATTAAAAAAAAAATGATCATGATTAATAACTATATATATATCAACAAGAAAAAGTGGCACAACTGCAAACTTGCTGGTATAACATAGTCCCAAAAGAGTCCGAATACTGAGCATGCTTTTGTTGTCATTGTTGGTGTGCTACTGCCATGGGAAAATTCTTGTTTAAGTAGGAGTCTAAAAGTCTATTTATTCCTCATGCATAAATGCATAAATCACATCACTCTTTAGTGCAATGCTTGTTATAGTAATATAATTCCACATTGTCTAATCATGAAATCATAACAACAGATAATGGCAATGAAGAACTGAAGACAGCAGGTTTAAGTGCTTAAACATCATGATACCCAAAGACAGGAGCATGGCAGTAGCTCTGTGGAATGTCACAGTTTTACAAGAACAATACTGTATATTGAAAGGTTAACAGCACGTTTAGCATTCCAACAGTGTTGTCATTCAGCAAACATCATTAAAAAAAAAAATGAGGAGGGGGAGGAAAAAAGGAAAGGAACCCAAAACAGAAACAAGGAAAGGAAAAATCCCAAAAAACATCATAGTGAGCTATAGCCATCAAATCAGCACTATGTACAACCTTTGGAAAGAAAGATATCTAGAAAAAAATAATTACAAGTATCATTTTTGGAAAGCTGACAAACTACACAGGACAACATTTACAATGGGGCTGATATGTGCATGTGTGCAAACCTAGTAGGTAAATACCATGATAAAAGCATTGAAGGTACCGCCCTGTTGGACAGCGTTAAAAGGAAATGCACTTCACTGCATTTAACCACTGCCCAGCATCTTTGTTGCACGCTGGTTGGCTTCATCAATCCTGGTTTTGTTGGAATCAGCCTAGAGGAACACAAAGGAAAGAAACAGATGAATACAGGGCAGAAAGAGAACGTCTGCAATGCTCTGTGGACACTTCCCTAGTTTTGGCTGGGTCAGGAAAAAAAAAGAAGCTTGAAAATACCAGAGAGCCGATTTTTATAGTGGCATTGAGGACCCAAAAAGAAATTGCAGATTTGCTGGTTTTGTGACACTTCAGGTAGCCTTTGAGTAAAGCTTTTATGTTTGTATTCAGCGTCACTGAACTCTTGTAAATGCTGTGCCAGATTTGTAGCTGGTGCTATCGATAGTCCTAGCGGTATTGATGGTAATGGATGATGGGATGAGAACTGATGTGGCGCACGTGGATTTCACTGATGAAAAGCTTCAGTGCTCTCTAAAATTCAGCGGACCTGGACTCTGTTCTAATTTAGATCACCAGGCATGCAGTCAACACTAAAATTTTGGTGAGTGTAGAGAATCGCTGGAGCAGGGAAGCTAGATCATCTGATGTAGGGAATGCTGGCAAAGATAAATTTCTTTGCCAATGTATCAGTCTGGGTCTCTCTGCTCTACATGTTCTGTTGCTCTACATTTTCTCTACAAGGAATGGGCAGGAGTGATGCCATTATTCCTTTCTCTCAACAACGTTCACCAATGTAGTTGCAAGACAGAGTAACCTCTCTCCTTGGGCAGCAGCATAAACAGGAATTAAGAAAAGGCAGAGATTCTACCATTATTTGAAGCAATCAAACTGGAATTTAGTCCAGCATAGCATGAACCATTAAGTTCACTGTCTTCCATGGGGTAACACTTGCCATCATTATAAAATGCGGTTAATAAAACAGCACCACTTGGGAGGTTTAGGAGTTCTCTTTGAGTGGGAACACATTTTGACCATGGCTTTCTGTAGCTCTGCAGAAGTTACTTTTGGAGACTGAAGACGTTGTTTTAACTGACAAAAACTGGCAAAGCTCCGTTCAAGCCCATGTTGCTATGCCGACTTGTGCTAGCAGAGGGACTAGATAGAAAATGTTTTCAATTTTTTAAAACAGACCTGTGGGAAAGGTGAGAATTGCATTACTGCTTTAAAAGCATGAACTCAAATAGCAAACTCTTTTCTGTGGTTTGACGGTTGCGTTTTGTTAGTTTTGATGATTGTTCCCACATCTCCAGGGTGTATCCAAATTGTACAGATTTATTTTAAATCTCTGATTTGCAAAGACAGAATGGTGAAGCAACTTTCCCACATACATTTAAAAAACCTTTAAAAATGGTTATACTGATGTGCAATAAATCATTCTTAAATACCTTGGGCTTTTCTCCATAATTGTTTTGGCAAATGCAATGCAGAAGTGTATTTTTAGTACAGTAGCATGTGCCAGATCGTCAACAAGCATAAATCAGCATAACTACTCATTATAAGCCACACTATTTAAGCCATGAGTTTGACCTTCTCCACCACAGTACAGTTTTGTGTGCTTTTGCCAAAAGACTATGTAAAAAATAATGGTTTTGGAAGCAGTTATATTTATCATTAAATATATGAATATTGATTGAATATTGATGAAAAGTAATGTTCCTAAACAGGAATACTAAGGTCTAACTCTGGTGGATAGTGTTGCATTGAAGTCAGTGGGAGTCTTTGTGCAAACCTTCCCACCTAGGTCAAGGCAGAATGCTTTGAGCCCTTCCTACTTTCCTCCCAACCTCCTATTTATCGCTCATTTTAGGACCAGGGCCTTCTGATGATGATGATGTCTGGGCCATTTGACCTGCTCATCACATCATCATTTTAGTTTTTGTCCCTTTCTCTCTGGTCTAAGGGAAGGATAAAGCCTTTTATTCATTACTATCCTGATCACTGTGGATGGATTACATCTCTGCATTACGAGATTGCTCTGATTTGAATGCATGCATGCAGTTTAACATAAATGCTTTAGGAGTGTTTGGGTTAGGTTTGTGATGCACCTCAGCTTTTTGCAAAGTGTGCCAGCCAAGGGTCTTTCTAATGATCCTAATTGATCAAAAGCACAGTGCTCCAGCTGGTTGGGAAAAGAAAACAACTCCAGCAATGCTCTTTGCCCACCGCGAGCTGGGGATGATGGTCTGTTGGCATATTTCATTGCAAAATGGATGTATATATATTTGTGGTTTCGGTATTATCTGGCTAACTGTAATTTCTGTCTTTTATAGAGGGTTTTCTTAATATATTGTGTTTCTTTTTCTAGTATCTCATTACTGTGTGTCCTTACTCTGAGAAATCTGCCAGATTTTCACTAAGATAGAAGACTATCTTGGTTTTGCGCTGCTTTCTTGATGACTCCTCTGTGTGCACTGCAAGTCCATCTTTCAGAACTGTGTCACTGTTCTTTAGCCAAGGGCTCTGCCTGACAAGGCCTGCCTGTGAGGCTGGATTTAATGAATCACATTAGCTTGCAATGTTGTTTTTCTATTGCTGTATGAAGTGCCTGACTCCGTAAGAAGACCGCATAGATGTGGAAGGCCAGCCCCTCCGTTAGCCAAGTGCTCTCAGCATGCACTGCCTAGAGATTTCGCCCACGTGCTTAATGTGCATGAAGGGCCTGGTCAATGTTTTCAAAATCCAGATGTTTGCAAGCCTGAACTGACAGGAGAATAGTGACTTGTTAGGCTTGCTGTAGTTTGTGGTAGTATCCTGCAGGCACGGATAGGATGCAGCTGATTTCCAGATGCAGGGCATGTCTCCTGCCACTGTGTTATGAGTAAGAGAGCTGGTAACATGTAATAGTGCGTGTCCTCATACTTGCTCTGAGAAAATGGTGTCTGTCCTGGACTTCTTATTTAAAGGTAGTTATGATGTAGGCTGTATAATTTTCCAGTCCCTTCTGGCAATATAGATAGATGTGCTGCTTTCTAGTGTTTTTCATATAAACAACACTGGTAAACCCTTCCCCTCCATGCTGCTATTTTTCCCAGAAATATGAAATGCTGCAGGATGGCATCACAGTAATACTGTGCATTTTCCAATACAGTCAAACTAACAGAAGCAGCTTTGTAAAACAATATTTTTGACCGATGCAAAGCCATGTGCTCTATTGTGTTATGTGACTTTCTCTCTGTCAGAAGAGAACTTCCCACCTTTAAGACAATGTATATGTCACCCAGGTCTCTCTGGAGTCAACCTCAAATAAAGAAAGCTATCCGAGTGAATCCCTCAGTGCAGTATTTTCTTTAATTTTTGGACTAGGCTCTGATGTAGCTAATTGACATGAAAAATAGGCATGGGTATCCTGCTCGTGTGAGAAGGCTTGCACGTGTAAAGAGACTCTCAAGAGTACAAGCTGTACCACTTAAGGTCAGCATTAACTCTAAGCAGCACATCTAAGTCCTTGGGTTAGATCCTCAGGTTGTGTAAATCTCAGCTGAAGTCAAGTGTTGTATTGATTTTACACCAGATGAAGATCTAGCCTCTTATGTCACTTCAGCCTGGCTGTGCCTGTGGCTGGAGCTCTGCCAGTACGAATGCAGATGGCTTACAGATCTTGGGATCTGAGGGTGGCAGTGAGTTCCCAGCCGGGTTTGGAGGGTGCTGCTATCTGCTTTAGAAGTCTGCAATGCAGGTCTGGCACTGGAACAGTGCGCTCTGCCTTTTTAGATGGTGATTTTGCAATAGTAATGCTGAGCTCTTGTATTTCACGTGGGGCCCAGTTACATATATATACACCCGGATATATATACATACATACACACACCAAGACAGATGGTAGATCTCTGTCCTAGCATGGTTATAAGTGAGCAGCATGACAAGACTGGCTGCACTGTGACCATATGGCAAAGACTTGCTTAATAAATTCTCATCCTCTTTTGGGGACTGGTCCTCCAAACAGATGATCCAATTCTCAATTGCTCATGGAGTTTCTGAGGGAAGGGAAAGTCCCGGAAGGTTTAAAACTTGCCAGGAAGCGCCAGGGCATTCAGACCCAGTCCCCGTGGTTCTGCATAGCTCAGGGCACTTCTTCTGCAACAGCTTTGGGAAAGCCTTGATTTGTGCTAAGGGATCCCCTTGCCAGCTTTTATCTGGTGAACTCAACAGTGTGGGTTCAACCCAGCCTCACTGGAGGTTACTGAAGCAGTGAACTCTGCTTCGGCCCGAGGATTTGGAGGGAAATGAGAGAAGAGCTCTACCAGCTACTTTTGTCCCTTGTCCTTCTCCGAGCTGAAGAGAAACTGCGACATACACAGCCTGTGCTTGCGGAAGGGAAAACAGAGCCCCTTTTGGGGTACTCTTAGAAACGCCAGCTCTTACCTTCTCCATGATCCTGTCAATCTGGCGATTCTGTGTGTCGATCTCGTTGCCCATATCCAGGGCCATGTGACGTAAGTTGCCAATGATGCCGCTGACCTGCTCGAGGTTCTCATCCATTTCATTTTCCCGGGCATCATTTGTTACCCTGGGAGCAAAAAACCCAATAATTTGAAGCAGAGACAGAGGAGGTTCGCCCTGAAACTGATTATTCACCCGAAACCTCCCCTGCATCCTCCTTCGCTTGTCATCTAAGGAGCATGCTGCTGTGCTCAACTTTGAAGAAAAGGAATTAATAAGTAGCTAGCCTGAAAAACACAACATGCTTATTTTTTGGATCTTGGGCTTAATTGTCTGGGTTCATCACTGCTCCATTTATACTGCTCATGTCTGCTGCTCATAGAAGTGTTGCTGTCTGAACTTGTCTGTACCACACAGTGCACGTCTCTGCTAGTGATGGTCCTTCCCAAACAAGGAATGGAAGGGTCCTCCATTTGGACCTGTGTGTGGTTAGAGTAGGTGAGAAATGCCGGAGAGTGGCGGAACTGAAGCTACACCAGCTCCCCTCCTTGAACTACACATAGCTAATGGATACGGTCCAGTCCTCGTACACTTGGGGCTCACTGAAATATTGGGGAAGTGTTGCTTGAGCCATGAAAATCCTGACCTAACATCTTATTTAATTAAATGTGTTTCTAGTAAATGACAGGAGGAGCTTCTCTCAAACTTACTGGCTTTGGTAGAGATTCTTTGTCTCTCTTCTTAGCACCATCTTTTTCAGTTGCTTGGTTTTTAGAAGAAAAAACTTGTGCTTGAGCCAAGCCCAGTTCAACACTCCAGTGACTGGAGAGGCACGTGGTGACAGACACAGGGAAAAGCAAGGTCCATGGGTCCCGCTCAGAAAAATCCCTACTTTAAGCCTCTTGTGCAATTTGTGTTCATGTAGGTGCCAAAAGGGCACTCTTTGCAGAGCAATTGTGGCGTAGCATAACTTCCTTTGCTGCTATTCTGTTATCATGCCTCAGCTTTCGTTTAGGTGGGGCTGCCATCCAGAAATAAAAAAAAAAAAAAAAGTGAATGGCAGACCCAGCAAACTTAAATGGCAACTCCATCCCACGCTCCAGATTGCATGACAGCATTGTTTCTATCACACTGATTTCCCTTTATCACAGCAGCCAAAAAAATAAGTGGATAATAGTTTTTGGAAAGATAATTACTTATTAATCCAGTGTCCTTAATCTTCAGAGATCAAAGCTTTGCCTACTGGTATGCCTTTATCCATTCAGCTGATAGCATTGTCATCTAAATACATCCTCTATAAGCACTGTAATCAGTATGTACTTATTGCTGGATCCCTGTGTGTTGCTGAAAGTTTGCAGTTTGGTTGCCATTAGTATAGCTGTGTGTTTCAAACTGGCTTTCATCTGAGTGCACAGGGGTTGCCACTAAAGCATCAATGTTTCTCTGTAGCTGTGGCTTTACAGCAGCTGAGGAATGGGGCGTCATTCTCCGTTCAGTGAGGTTTTCTGGATAGACACAAGCAGGGAAGTGGCGTACCTCTAGTTAAAAGTGTGCTTCAAGTTCTGCGCTTGGCTCGGTGCTGTGGCAGAGAGCCTGAGGCTCTTTCCTTTTTGAAAAGAAAGGAAGGGGTGCCGGATGCTTTGGTACGTCTTCTGGCAAGGGTGGACAATAAGCACTACGTATCTTGAGACATAATAATAATAAAATGATAATAATTTATCTGACACTTCATTTCTGAGGCGTTTGACAGCTGTCATTAAATGACACCCATAATAAGGCCCCCAGGAGAAGTGCATTAGTGCATTGCTCACGCCAGGGAGCTGGAGTGCTGACTGGTCGTGACAGTCTGCAACCTCACATTGCTCTGTGAAGTAAATAAATAGATATTATTTCTATTTGAGACTGCCCAGAGTTGGGCAATACTAAAGGAGGAAGGTTTAGGGCCACGTTTTCAAGCATCTTCTGGTTCTCAGGTCTGAGACCCTTACTTCGAGGATTTCCAGCAACATAGTCGTCCTTTGCACTAGCTCAGGCAAGCGCCAGCAGGGCCAGGGGCAGTCGGTGGATGTGGTAAGCCTTTAGTACCTGTCTTAATCACTGCCAACCTAAATCTGAGCACCCACCACTTGGTGGAAAACACGGGCTCCATTGCATTACTCAGCACCACTGAAGGAGTTAATGAGCATCACAGAACTCATGACCATATGGAAGAAATCTAAATATATCAGTGATGAGGAGAATAGAGAGAAAACAGTGGATAAAAAGGCTCACCTGCGGATAAAGCCACCACTGATGGCCATCTGCTCCCGTTCATCTACGACACGTGCAGGCTGGCTGGCTACAACACCATCCTGGTTATTGCCCCAGGCTTTTTTGTAAGCATCACTTGATTTAAGCCTATGCAAAAAAGATGATGAGTAACAAAGCATCAAGTGGACAAGGACAAACGCAAAACTCTTCTCCAAGCTAAAAGCTGAATCAAGCAAATGAGTTTTCAGATAGAGGGTCATTGATTGTATACCGATATATCATAACCCTGAATAAAAGGAGGGTTCCGGTTTTTGTTTTGTTTTGTTTTTTTTTTTTTACTTTACTGCCACAACAACTGTGATGGTCAGAGGTTTTGTTGCCAATAGGGTGAATTGCAATTGTCAAGTCTACAACACTGCACACAGGTTTTTGGATGTTGACTTAGTTTCCAGAAAGAAGAGGAAAAAAAAAAAAAAAGGAAAAAGAAAAAAGAAGAGAAGAAATACAGATAAGTAGAAAACATTGTTTCATTTCAGTGACACATACATTTTGACATCAAACACAGAGAACGTACTGGCAGACAGACATAAAAACAGAACTGCCAAGTATAGTGTGTACATCACATCACAGCAACACACCCTCTTAGAGAAAAACAGATTTAGCTAGATTTTAACATTTTACCATGCAGAAGATTGGGCTTCTGTTGATATTTTTTAACACGTATGTGGCATAATAGGCATTTAAAGCCACTAACTTTTCCCAAGGTGATTTGGGGATGATTTTATCACAAAATTCTAGGGTTCATTACATTTTTCAAATAATATATCGGTACTTGAAAATAGTAATCATACATCGGCAGTTGATGTACAAACCTTTGTCCACAGAGACAAAAAGTAAAATAGGCAGAAGTGAAATGAGTGCAGGAGAAAAGAAAAGATACGAGCAATCTAGCATCAGAAAGGGAAATTTTTCTACATTTTTCTTCATGCACCAGCTACAGGCATGAATAAGAAGTGAAGCATTCTCACTAAGCACAGTTGCCCCAATAGTTCATCATACTCTTAATGCATCAGCAGTAACAGCCTTCACAATAAGCAAGACACAGGCAAAAATGGATCATCACTTCCTTCAGGAGCTTTAAATCACAGGACTTCAAAATAACCTAGGAACTTGTTATATTTGTTGTTTATCACAGTTACATTAGCTTTCAGAGAGCCATTTTTGACTGAGCTGCCATGGATAGAAAATTAAAATCCAGGCATACCTTCAGTGGTGGATTAGCATGTGCAGCATATTTAGGGTTGCTGTCATTGGGGTCATCAGATGAGACGGAACACTTTACCAGGAGAGTGTGAGTATTTGGGGTCTGTAGGTGTAAGTTCTTGGTTTTATTCCGGAGATGGAGCAGTTTCCAACAAAACTGTTGGGAACTGCAAGTCTCTGTGGTTTCCCTGTTGTTTGGTCAGCTCCAATCAGCCATACAAACAGCCCTGTGGCTTGGATTTTGGGGGAGAAACTGAACGTGTTTCTGGGGGATTTAGGAAAGGACACAACAAACTCATTTCTGATGTTATGTTCTCTCCATGTCCATCGAAACAGTTCAGCTTCTATTGAGCCTAAAGATGTGTTGCATGCTTCAGTATAGAACTAAAATGTGGATGAAGAGGATCTTTCCTACTCGTCTGTTTTGTTGCTTATTTCCTATTAAAGTTTGTGAAGACTTAAAAAGAGGATGGTTGGCTTGTTTGTTCTTAGTTTTCTGAAACTATGTGTCAGCTTTGACATTTCTAGAAATGATGAAAGTAGTTCTCTTGCTGCACATACATACACAGGTTTTTGCCTGTTCTTTAGACCTGTGCAACTTTGAGAGTGAGACAGTCTCTGCGTTTGAGGTGAATGATTTTATACACCCAGAACTTGATCTGTGTTTTCTTGTGGGCTTCCCATTAAAGTCAACAGGTGGAGTCTGGGTCTTCTCATGGCCAATAGTAGTTGTCCTTTTGAATGCAATCTGGTCAAAGTTTCGTGCCACAGGCATTTTGGGTCTCTTAAGAATGTAGGATCAAGCCTTACATTTTGGTAAGGCTCACGGAGTTGTATTTACTCTGTATATCAGAGTATAACTATGTGTGAAATAATTAATCATTTTAAAATATATATCATTAATTTACCACCAGCCACAAGAGCGTTAGGGGATCATGGTGATACTGATGCCCAGAACCGTATGGATTTCTCTCCCTCCTACACTCCACTTCTCAGAGTATCATCTTATTTGTACCACTTGAATTCTGGCATAGTGATTCAAGGAACAGTGTCTAAAAGCATTGTTCATCCATACTCTGTTTCTGAACACATTGACTGATTAGCAATGGTAGTTTATGAAATCTGGCTGCAGACTACAAAGGTCAGAATACTGCCTTAAAGCAGGGAAGAGACACCCCTTAAAAATGAGCCCCTCCCAAATCAAATGCTTGCAGTATCTTTCTGTTCTTGCATCTATCTGTTTCATGACACTGTGATCATAGTGAAGTGGTAGATGCTGTAAGGCCATGTGTGAGTTGCTAACCCCATCCATGCCACAGGTCTGGCTCTCAGTTCTGAGCAGCCTTTCCTACAGTACAGAATATTAAAGCTGCTCTAAAAAATGACAATTCCTGCAAAATACATTGGAATCTTTCATACTTCAAGGGTGATCTTTTGATACAGGTGTTATGCCAGGTTTCTCCAGGAGGAGCAAGCCAGGACAGTGTTCCTCTTTAAGTTGCAAGAGCCTTTAGAGTGTGGGAGATGTAAAGTTTCTTCTGCACGTCCTTGTACCTGCAGCTCTTCTGCACTGCGTCCTTTGGCACAGGACAGCAGGGCTAAAGCCTGGATCAGAGCTGGTACCAACTGCCGGCAGTCCCACTGACAAGGGCTGTGTGTGCCTGCAGCTCTTTCCATTCCTCCCTGCTCCTCTCCCACTGTGCACACCAAGGCAATAGTTCTAGGCAAAATGTTTACCCCAGCAAAGTATTCGTGGCTTGGTACACAGAGGCAAAATCAATTTTTTTTTTTTTTTTTTTTTTTTTTTTTTTTTTTTTTTTTTTTTTTTTTTTTTTTTTTTTTTTTTTTTTTTTTTTTTTTTTTTTTTTTTTTTTTTTTTTTTTTTTTTTTTTCCCCCCAAAGCTGAGGTGGTATCTGCGTTATGTCCCAAGGGAATTAACTTCAAAATAAATGGTGACTGATAAGGCAGAAACCCAATCCTACCATTCTGATTTCTGGCAAAATACCCACTGAACTCCATGACAGCTGTCTTTCCTTTGGTCTTGATAATGATGGTAGGATCAGGCCCTGACTGTGAGCAAAGCCCCTGTGCCACACAGAAAGGGAGTGTAATACTACAGAGCCACCGCACTCTGCTTCGTTTCCTACCCAGTCTCTGGCCAACCATTTACAACTGTTTTCACTGTACCCTGGTTGCGTGCCTACTCACTGCATGCTGGATTTGCCATTCCTCAAGGACTTCTGGTTGGTCCACTTTGTCCCCAATTTCCTACACCCACATAACCGCACATCACATTTTCATTTGGCATTTAAAACAAGCTTTGCATTACTTGGAGGACGGTTTCGTTCAGGTGTGATGGCATGCAAGCAAATTTGATGCATTTCAACATTTCTGCTTAGTGTACGTGCCACCCAAACAAGAGAAATTTGGCGTGTTCAGGTTTTCTCAAATTTGTTGCCTATGGCAGGATGAAAACCATTTCAAGTTGGGTTCCAATTATGAAATGTCATGTCTCTTTCAAGATCTTATCAATGACTATTTCTGTTGAACAATGGAAAAAGGTGTGATTTTCATCCAGAATTTTGAGTATGCTTGTTATATCACCTCTTCTGCATTTTTGCAGCTGTTTTGTTTAGTTTATTAAACATGTTTGTGAAAATATATTTCAAAATTTAGGGTCTCCAGGAATAAGGTAGCCCCAGTGTTTTTGTTTGCTGGAAAATGGAACCACTCAGTACACTTTGTATAAAATGTTGAAACTTTTACCATTAAAAGGTGTCGACAGTGAAGCTATCACTGCAGTATGCCTGATTTTAATGCATCTACAGTAATTCCCGGTCAGTTGTCTATGCTATGAGATGAATGCATTTGAACCAGAATCGTTCTTTCTGCATGCCACATGCTCATCCTGTCCATGTGCCTAGCAAGGATGAGCTTCACAAGGCCTTTGGGATCAGCCTTAAGTGCTCAAAGAGATGAGGCAGGCAGCACCTACTTGTTACATGGACAGACACAAAGACCACAGAATTTTCCTAGGTCCGTCAAATTCTTTTCTGCTTCTTTCATGTCCTTATTGATTTGGTCCATTCCCTCTTCGATGCGTTCCAGTTGTTCTGATTAAACACAAGTATTTTATCCCCACAGAATGAAGCAGATGGAAAAGGACAAAGAAAAAAAAGACAAAAACTTCAGACATTCACTGTGACAAAAAACTGGACACCACATAGCAGAGCCGGTACCCAGTACCTACTTGTTACAAGGACATATGAAAAGGCCACAGCATTTCCCTAAATCTTTTAAATTTTTCTCGGCCTCCTTCATGTCTTGGTTGATATGGTTCATGCCTTCTTCAACACGATCGAGTTGTTCTGGTCAGGACAAAGGGATGACAGTGTGGAATGAATTGTATTTTTGTTCGTTTGCTTTTGTCTTCAACAGAACATGAAAAATGACCATGTAGAACTGAATTAATAATGACATTACAATGCATTAATCGGAGGTGATGCATTGTTGAAAGGATGTATGCTGCGCTGGATGCCGAAGATGTTTTTTACTAATATGGGAAGAGGAAAACAAAGGAGGAAGATGTTTGAAGTATATTAATTTAAACAAGATGTAATGAGGTAGAAAGAAGGGTTATAAAGTTCAAGGTCCAGAAACATAATACAATACATCCACTTACTAAGACACCAATGACATCCAAGAGAAAGAAAGAAAGTGTTATTATTTTGCATTTATGTCTGTTATTGCAAGAGAAAAGGTGTCCTTCCATGGAAAACACTTCTGTTACTTACACTTACGACTGCCTTGGAATTAGGTGATTTTAGGCAGCATAATTGCTTTCATTAGTGAGCGAGAGAGCTGGTAGTACCAGTACAAGAGATGGAGCGAGCTGTTAAGAGCTGTGTCCAAGTACTCCTTTCTCCAGAGGCTGAGGAAACTGAGACCTGCGACTTTGGCATTGGATGTTGATCTCTAATCTGAGTATGGCCTCAGGGCTGGTTCTCTTTCTGGTATGAATGCTGCAAATCGAGAGTAATCCCAGTGAACACAGAGCAATTGCAGCCACACCAGGAGTGTGATGCTCGCTGAAAGAGGACCATGGGCTGTGATGTTCCTTGTCTCTGTCCCCAAGGGATCTTATGAAAACAAGCATTGGGGGAAGACTCCTGTTTTCAGTGGGATCACTTCTGCTTTGCTCCAGGACAAGTTACGAAGCACCAAGCCCAGAAACCAGCCATATACAGACAGTGTTTCTCCACTGGTGTCAGAGTTTGGCTTATTTCCTCCTAAGGCAGATGGTGATGTAGAATTTTCTTAGTGACTTGGTAGCTTAGAATAATTTAATGGGTTCGTTTCTTCACTATTAAAGCTGGGAAAAATGGTCTAGAAGAACAGAATGCCACAATGTAACACTGTAGGAATGCATCCTCTGCAGATGTAAACAGATATGGAACCAGTGGGATGAGGGGTCTTATGTGGAGTCTGCAGTAGCGACAGCATTTTACATGGGTGGAAAGCCTCACCATTTGTTTAATGAAGGATAAACTCAAATAAGTATCATATGGGATGAGTAAGTTACTTGGAGTGGCATTTCAATCCATTAAAAATTGTAACTGTACCTAAAGAGGCAAAATAAAGCAATCCCAGTAAAACACAAATACATCCCTACAAATACATCCCTATTCCCCATATTGAATAGAAAAAAATATAAACACAGAATTAGACCTGAGAGGAAAGGAACTAAGAGAACAGTGGTTATAGGAGGAATTTGATGTCATCTGTGATGTTAACTGAGTCCTACCGAGAAAAAAAAAAAAAAAAAAAAGGGCGGCATTTAAAAAAAAACATTATGTGCATATTGACGTCAGTACAAAACTCCTCTTGATTTCTTTGGGAACATGAATAGGCCTAATTTCTTACTTGTGTTTCTAATAACAATTGAAGTTTAGATTTTCAAAGCTTTCTGGGGGATTTGGATACCCAATGCCCATTAAAATTAATTTTATTTAATTAATTTTAATGGGAAATGGGCATCTCACCCCTAGAGGGCCTTGAAAATCCTGGCCTAAATTATTCAAGCTGAAATAATTCAAATATTGAACTTGCGCTCTTTGTTTAATTCTTGCATGAGGCTGGGCTTTGAGAAGGAGAGGTGCCCCGGCAGTATTGCAAGCTGCATCTGCTTTTCAGCTGTCAGTTCTCATCCTCCTCAGCTGGATGTGCCTGTCTGCGGATACCACAGGAGTTATTGATCCCAAATCCAAGGATACATTTAGAGGATCAGAGTTACCTGGCACTGCCCTCTAAAAGGGGCACATATAACGTGAGGAAAGGGTTGGGAAACCAATCAGGAAACCTGAGAGATACAGTGCACAAGTTCTGCCAGATAAACTGCTGAGCCAAGACCCAGAAATACAAGGCTGCATTGTTTTAATGCACATTGTAATTGTACATTTTCATCGGGAGGCTTTAGCGGAAGCTTTGGTTCATGTTTGTAGATCGTCAGTCTTATCAGAAATGTAAGTATGTGGTAGAACGTGACACTCCTCCAAGTGCTCCTGCTCCTCACTAACTCGAGGTCCTGCCCGCTCCTGCATAGTGGGGCAACGCTTGCGCTGGGAAGCAGCTGTGGGAGTGTGAGCTGGCTTGTATGCTGGTTCATGCAGCGTGATGGGAACTGCTACATCTCTGTGGCAGATTCCCACCTCCTGCTTGTGAGAGCTGTATTTGCAGAGCCCAGCTGGTTTTCAGGACTCTGGGTTAAAAGAAGGCTATTTCCACATCTGTATTTTGACACTGGGAGTGACAAGAGGTACTGATCTTTCTTCCTCTGATTTTGCTGCTAGTATTTCTGTAACCTCGGCTGGCCGGTAGCAAATACCAGGTAAGAGTGCAGGGATCAGTCCTAGATCTGGTACCACTGGTGGCTTTCAGTCTAAGCATCTTTCCTTGCTCAGATGCACATTCTCTGAAGCCAGGTATTTAGGCAGGCCTTTTGAACTTTCTTTCTGTTTCCTATTCTGCCTGAATAGATGAGTGCTAATTGAAGAGTATATTTGACATGACTCAAAGCCTTTCATTTAAATTATAGCTCTCTCCAGGAACCTGACTTAATTTATCCTGCTTCAGGATTTATGTTTGATGCCTATGCTATTTCTGAATAGAAAGGGGACCCACAACTAATTTATCTTCCATTAAAGGAAACCTCATCAGTGTAAAAAGCCCACGTCATATTTGTAGCCCAAAAGTCTAGACAGCTGGCTGCTGGTCCTAAAACCATTTGCTAGTTTCTAATGTCTTGGGCTGGACTGTTAACTGGTTTAAATCGGCATAGTTATGCTGGCTTCATGGAGCAATACCAATTTATACCTGTCAAAGATCTGGTCCTATCGGCAAGGAAATAGATTCATGAGTCTAACCACAATTATTGGGGCATAAATATTATAGATGAATTAACTTAATGGGGTCACTCTGGATTTGTTTTGGTATAACTGACATTAAAATCTGCCCCAGAATGAATCACTGCTGGTAAGAAATCAGATGGCTATCAAAAGCTTAATTTAATGTCTGTTTTCATAGATATTCCCTATTCGTACTTTGTGTATTGTACTAAAGGTTTTAGGGAAGACAGTCTGCTGGCATATACTGCCATCAACCTATGCAAATTCACACCTACAAAAGATCAGGTCCTTTATCTCCCATTTATAGAAGCACTTCAAGGTCAGAGTTTAAACATCTTTTGTTAGTTTGTTGCAGTATTCTTTGGATATACTACATCTATGTATATGTTTATATATCATATATGATATATAAGAGAACTGACCTTATCTGGAAGCAGAATACATATCAGAGGTACGCTTCATTGAGATTTCCTTCACTTTTTTTCTGGGAAGCTCTGCTAATTATTAGCACTTTTTGCATATTGATACCCTTTTATGTTGGAGAATGTCACTTTGATTCAAACATAGTGGCCATATATCTTTCAGATCTTACAGCCAACTAATGGCATGTCTTGGGATACAAACAAGGATATTTTTTTACCTGTATCGTTATACTTATGAATTACTTCAGGGTTAAAACCATAGGCAACTGATGCACCATAAGCTAGTCCTGTTGGTTTTACCATAGCGTTGTGACCCTTTGCCAGTGGCCCTTTGCCAGTGTCTTCCATAACAGCCTGGCAAATCCCCATTCTGTGACTGATCTGGGGAAGTGGCTAAGAGAGGGAAACTGTACCAAGGGCATCCTTCAGCTGCTCCTGTGGTCTCTTGAGCAAACACAGCTGCAAACGCAGCTCACACAGTGTTGCTTGCAGGAACAGGACGGGGCAAGTGTGGTGTTGCTCCACCTTTGCATCCCCATCTGTTATTTATAACAAATGTTCCTTGACTAGTGCCCAGGATCTGGGGCCTGTGCTTGAATGTCAGCTAAATATCTGTGGAGAAGGGAACTTGCTCCTTTGCCTGGAGTATTGTGCAATGAAGCAATTTCCACCAAGGACAATTTTAATTAGAGGGGAAAAAAAAATAAAGGACATCTAAGAACACATTGTAATCATAATTGCATACAAGAGGGCTGAATTTGAAAGAAAGTCAGCAGATTAACTATTTCCAATGATACTTGGTGATCCCATTTGCCATAAAGGAGAATTGTGTTGGCACAGAGTACATTTCTAGGACAGCCTTTTCAGAAATCTTGAGCTTTGACCTAGCTCCGCTCTGAAAGGCATTGCTGAGGTACGAATGGAAAAAAGCTGGCGGGGACTACTTGTGAGCCCACGTGTAGCTGTGCTAAAAATAACAGCAGACAAGGCATAACCTGCTTTTTTTTTTTTTGGGGGGGGGGATGGGGAGTCGTTTGTCTTTTGTTCTGCACTACACTTTCAACATAATTACATAATTAATACCATTTTCCCTGTAGAATCTGGAATAGTTGATAGTTACAATTTATTTTTTTCCACTAATTAGCAAGCCATTTCTGGCTGTGATCAGCTCAGCTCATAGCTGGTGTTGGAGGGCCTCTAGCAACTCCACTTTTGGCATCTCACTCCCTATCAATTTTTGTGGTAGCTGTTGAATAGGAGATAAGCTGGGGAAGGGGCCTGCGCAAGGGGCCATAATTTTGCTCTTTGATGGAAAGGGATGGTGATTATCTTTGTATTTACTGCAGTTGTTTCTCCAGTGCCGTAGAAACAGGTCAGCCATAACTCATACAAAACTATAAAACTTGCAGCTCCTGCAGAAATAGTAAAGCTCAGCTAGCATGGGTACCATCACATGGTGCCAACGTTTTTGCTTGTGAGGTTGCCCAGTTATTCCGAAGTTTTATCTCTGTACTTCAACTCGACCTGGAGTGCAGATCTGCTGGGTAGATTAAGCTGCTCCCCCTGCTCACTGGCATTGCTGGTTGTGCCTTTGCTGTTGCTGTGATGTAGGGAGAAAATTTCAATTGAATTGATGTTTTCTTTGTGGCTTATCAAAGTTGGGGCTATTCCTCTATCTTGTCTTGAATGAAAAATGGCTGTGCTGCTACTGTTGTTATTGGAAAAGTTTCTCCTCTCCACCCCGTTTTGAACACAAGAACAAAATTAGTTTGTAATATGCTGCATGAGGACATCATCACACACAACAAAATGTCCTTGGAGGTCCAAATCTCTCTGCCTGCTGATACTGCCAGGTGATGGGAGTTTCCTTTGGAGGAAGAGAGCTACCACTCTGAGACCCCTCCTCTGTCAGCAATTCAGGTTTATCTTCGTATCCCCACTTTGTACTCAGTTTCATTTCTACGGTCTGCTTTTAACCAACATGCATCCAAATATTAAGATTTTTCTAAGTTAGTGTGTTTCAAAGACATATTTAATGAAGCAGAGCAATTGCCACTGCTCAATAATCTTTTTGTAGCATGACATTTTTAATATAAAATGTAAATATTTTAGTTTAAAGCATTATGTATGTATTTATATTTAAATAATTAATTAAGGGAGCTTGACTCAAGGCCAGGCTTAAAAAAAATGTAAGCATTATGGATGCACATAGGATCTGGGAAAGACTTGCTCACTGATGGAAAAAAGCTCAACAAGGAGAATCTAACCTCTCGGCTCCTTTCTGTGAGCTCCCCAGGGGAAGGAACTGTGTTGAACTGGTTTGGGTGACAATACCTGGTTCCAAAAAATGGTAACTCTTGGTGTTGCAGAGACTACTCCAAAAGCCCACTCAGATTCCCAGTGACTTCCAAGGGCACTGGAGGAAGTCTCTAGTTTTTATGGCAGTCTCATTCTCTCTGAAGCCGGAGTAATGAAAGCTCTTGTGAAGCTCCCCATCTCTGTAGGGTCATAACAGACTCTGTGATCTGCTGCGCAGCCAGCTATGCTACACGTTTAGGCAACAGGAGCTAGCCGGACTGGCTTTATTGTGTAAATGCCTAGTATTGTAAAATTATGTTGACTTATTTCCTTGTATGATCCCAAAGACTTTTGCTTATTGATGTCAGAAAATGAGTTCTGCTTTGCGTTATTTAGACTGAGATCGGCTCAAAGAAGTTTTCCTTGTAAGATCTGTTTAACTTCAAAGGAAGCAATTTTGTAAGGAAACCTAGAAACAGAGCTTCAAGCAACTGCAGAGATTAAATATTCTGCTTGCCGCCCACTGGAAAGATCAATGTCATTTTTGTATATTTAACACCTAATAATCTTAAGTGACTTGTGCAGTCAGCTGAAAAGAGATCACATGGCAGTGTTAGCAAATTATTTCCTTAATCTGATAATCTGCTGAGACATCTGTGAATTGCACACATTGCACTAATTACAGAGGGTTCAAAGTCATCATTAGCGTATTTTGCCCAATAATATAATAAGTCCTTTATTGCTAAAATAAAAAAATAAAAATCAGGAGTTGTTACAGCTACATATGGCTAAAATGGACAAGACTTAATTAAACATTTAGCATAGCACAGTGGTTACAATATTCCCAGGGTTTGTAGCATTGTTAAGCTGTTTTCCTTGAGAAACCCATACTGTATAGTCACAAGCTAAATTTACTAAACCACTTAAGGCATGACCATAAGCAATTTAAAGAGACTTTTAAACTGTCTGATTCTTTCCTGTAAGTATTGGCTAGCTGCAGCTCTGGCCATACGATGTACATTTCAGGTTTCACTGTCAAGAAGAGTTTAATACTGAGTTCCCTGTACTCCACAGAGGTCAGTGGGTCCAGTCTCAGCTCCTTGGCTCACACAGACCGTCCCTCCTAGCAGGACTAGAGAGTCGGTCAGATAACTTTTGCATACGGGGTTTCACGATAGTAGAACTCCAAAGTAAAAAAAAAAAAAAAACCACACAAAAAAAACAAACAAAAAAACCAAACCAAAACAAAATTCAGGGTTAAAACCAAAATAAAACTCCCTAGCAATCTGTGGGAAAATAACAGTCAAAGAACAGAAACAAAAGAACAGAAACATACTTTCCCAAGACTAAACACAGGGGAAGTTATAGGAACCAGCAAAGTTTCTGCTGATCTGCCTGTGAATTATGTTGCAAGACACACCTGGGTATTTACAGACTTTCTTTGACAATATTTGTGATTTATTTTAACTGTTCAGAACAGTTTGTTTTGAAACAAAACACATTATTTAGGCAGGTGCCATATCTGTTTCAATATAAGTAATTTCTGGTTTGTCTGTCCAGTGACTGTTCTTTTACTGCCGTCATTCATAAAAATTTTTTGAAGACAACAAAATATTCGCTGTAATATTTTTCTTGTCAAGTCAAATTGAGGTGACAAAATTTGGTTAGGTTAAATTCTTTTCCCTAAAGGAGGAGGTGGGGTCAAAGCAAAGAGACCTACATTAAATAAAAAGCAAGTAGGAGAAAATACTTTCTGTTTAGGTCCTGTTATTGATTTTCATTCATTTTAGTGCCAGAGAGGCAGGGACATTACAGACAAAAAGGGCCTGTCAGGTTCTGCACTCCATTTCCCAACAACGCCGTACCATTGCTTCTGCCTCTGTAGAAAACATGTCCTAATACAGTTTTGTATCATGCCACATAGTAAATAATAACAAAGACTTTTGGGGGGCTGGTTTGATATAGAGTAGCAGAAATTTATACTCTGTTGATTTAACTTCTCTTTGGAGACACCATTTTGCTGATGCTGCGGGTCTGCAGCAAATGAAGACTTTTTAGTTTTGTTGGGGAAGGGGGAAGCGACCTACTTCTTTGTAATATTATGAAGGGAAAAAAGGTAATTTCCTGAAATGTATGGAATATATCTGTCTTTGTCACTGTCATCCACAGGCAGGGACTGTGGAGCTCCTACACGGTCAATTGTAATGAGCTGATCGTGTCACAGCTTTTAATGTTCAATTCCTGTTATCCTCACTGACATTTCTATACAAAAAGCAACAGAATTTTACACAAACAAAACCTGTTTTACCTTATTTTGGGGTATATTTGTTGCATGCCTTTCACTTGTGGCTAAAACAAGTGAGAAAATTACATAGCACCTGCATAAATAATGTTGGATTTTACACTTATGGAGGCAAATCTTCTCATCGTGTAGCTGGATCTTGACCCAAAGCTTGCTGAAAAAAAAATTATGATTTTGTTGAGTTCAGCCTGCAGCTCTCTTTGACATTAATGGGAAACAGACCAAAAGAAGTACAGACTCTTACGCAGTTACTGTACGTTCCTCTGTCAGACAACGACGCTAAAGGCAAAGAGGTTTTGGGGTTCTCATGCACAACCATATGTATTTTATGGCCCTCATTTTCAGGATTGCACACAGTTAGTACAGTACTTTGAGAATGGTTATACTTCCTTACTGAAGCAATCTGAACTTACCTCCTTGCTCATCCAACATAACCAAAGTCCTGATACCAGCATCTTTACTCTACATCCCAATAGTGGTAGCAAGGTAAGGAGAGAGAGGGGGAGAAGAAAGAGAGAGAAAGAGAGATCAGTGAGGGAACACTCAAGCCCTAGGTACGGGACATAGGAAGACAAAAGAAAAACAGTGAAAGGAATGACAAGGTCACAAGGGGCTGGTGGCACAGTCCAAAGCCCTTCTGTGCCTGGACACTGTACAAGGGATCGGGTACTCTTGATTGTACCATTAATCCTTCAGGATTCACTGGGATACTAAACTACTGCAGAAAACACAAAGTTCTGAACCTTGAGATTAAAATAATCGCTTTACACAAGAGCAATTTCTAAAAAGAGAGGGTTCATCTCCAAGTTCTCTGAAGCAGGAGAAGGGAAGAAGGGGGTCTTGACATTGCAGGTGTATATTCATCCCACAGGAGAAATTCCCAAGGAAAACAGATATGACACAAACATGTTTGGGAAGGAGGCATAGTGGTTTGTACATAGCTCTTGCGACACGGAAGTCAGAAAGCTTACCTACTTAGGAAATCCATTCTAAAGCGGGCTAATATTTAATAGGATTAAACCATATCTTTTGGCTCAGAGAACTAATAGATATGGGTTTAGGCCAAGTTTTAATTCAGCCAACAGACACTTTCAGCATCAATGGACTTTGGAGTGAGCTTGAAGTTAGGATTTTTAAAACACCTATGTGCCGAATCTGCCCCTGCTCCCCCAGATTATAGTGGGACCCTTATCGTCGCCTTTGCTGGGTACAGGGTTTGAGCAAAGCCAAGCAGTTCAGAGATCCCACCTGCCTAAACCAGCAACAGAGCACCTTTCACAAGTACCGTTTTTGCATGCATTATCATCACTCTGGGATGTGATCAAGTGTGTCAGGTTTCTGGGTGCTGTGATACTAAACTATATCACAGATCAGATTAGCTCCTTTTTAATTACGAAGGGGAAACTAGCTCCATTCTGCTTGGAGCAGTGATAACATCTGTGAATAATTAATGGCCTGAATGATCTCCTGACTGTTGCGTTTCAGTGACAGATGAAGTAAGTCCTCTGCGGACTGACAGCTTGCCAGCAGAGTTACCTGGACACGTGCAGCAGTAATTTAGCTGCTTCCATGAACATAAAGCCATCCATACCCCTGTAAAACAGATAAAGTTGTTGGTGTCAATTTTGCAGGGGGCAGGGGAGATGCCCACAGTTGCACAGGGACGTGAGGAACAGAAACCTGGAGTCCTGACCATCCTTCTTGCTTTTCAGGTCATCCTCCCCCTCCTTGAGGCAAATCAAGGACTTCGCCTTATCCTTCCTCATAACTGCCCCGCTCACTGCCATCTCTGATCTCTTCTTCTGGGAGCAGTGAAGTCTCTCTGGCCATCAGCCACCCAGTCCATGCTTGCAGGGCAGTCCCAGGCAGGCCAGCAGCACATTGCCCACGCTGGCTTGGCTACAAGCCTGACTCCCTGCCACACTCGAGGGCTGGCTGGCTGGTGCAGCTGGTGCTTCTCTGCTCTGCTTCAAGAGGATGCTGCTTGGTTCAAGAGGGATGCGAGATGCCTCTTGTTGCACTCTTCTGCCTCCCTCTGCACTCCCATTCTTGCCTTTAATGTCTACGTCACTGTAGAAACTGGGAAAAACATCAGAAGTGTGCAGCCTGGCTCACTCTCTCTTTTTTAAAAATCCCTGCATGAGTTGCCAGGTGGAGAGAAAAAGCCTTCTGCCTCTCCCCGTGGTCTGCTGTGCCCTACTGCCCTCAGGTCAGCTACCCACCAGGTACCCACTGCTGCTGTCTCCCTTCAAGCTCATGCTGCCTTTACTTGAATCCCAGCCAGCTTTTATTTTTGCAACATTTAGAAACCTAGGGTCCAAGGATCACCTTAGATTTGCCTATTTAGGGTAAGGAAACCACCTTTAATTATCCTAAGTTTTCTGTGGGGCAGGTGTCAGATCTGCTAAGCACTGGATGCGCAATTGCTTTTTATTTTGCACTTTCTATGCTCTTGGTACCCAGGGATGCCTTACCCCAAAAGATTTATATGTATGTTAAAAAACCTACCCTATGCAAACACAAGAAGGCTGCTTGGGTCCTGAGTTATCTTGTGTTTGAGTAAATATGGCGCAGTCTGACGTGGGACCCTTCTAAATATTGGACTCTGAAACCTGCAACTCGTGGTGTGATAGTTGTTGGCTTTCAGCGAGTCAAACATAGTCAGGCTGAGAAATGTTTACTGCTCCTTAACCCTCTGACCTTATTTTCCTGCTGTTTTTAACATCTGAGAAAACTGCCTTTATGCAGCTAAGATGTCCAGTGACCTGAGCAAGACCTATGCTGACAGACAAACTCAGCAATTAGACCTTATGGTTTATATTTCATATTAAGTCCTTGCACAGAGTGAAAGAGGTGCAATTTTCTTTTACTTACCTGACCATCAGTGCCATTTAATTTTATCAGGCAATACTGTATCTCTTAAAAGCAGCCTGCCACAGCATTAATACTAATGCAAAAATACTAAAGGGAAAATATTGAATATACTTATGTGCATCTGAGGTCTAATCCAAAGCATATTGAAGCTAATAAAAAGATGCTCACTGACAAAGATGAGAGGTGATTCAGACATCAAGTGACAATCTCCTCCTGTTCCAAGTTTCTATTAAGTATTAATTTTCAGCTTTTTCACAAAAAATTAACTGTGTAAAGCCAATTAAAACCCCCCACATTTGTGCATTTAAAACAGATCCAGGCTTTCCTAAAAGTTTCGTATTTCCCTGGTGACTGATCTTTTAGATGATAGCTCAAAACCAAACATGTCTGTAAGACAAAACTATTTTAACGATGTGCTCATCATCCACATGTCTGAGCAGGAGAGAAACACTCGATAACTGCCACCCTCAGTGACAACAAACTGAGGCATCTCTGGAAACTACAAAACCTCTTGATTTGAAGGACTATAGAGAAAGAAACATGCCAAACAAGTGTGTTTGGGGCCCAAACACAGACAGCATTAGTGTTTTCTGCACTGAAATTGTCACAGAAACTCCCCTTGGTCTCAGTGGGAGCAGGTGTCAGCAGACACACTCAAACCGGTTGCTTAGAGAGTGTGTAACAGGAGGTGATGAAAGCTGTGATTGCAAAGTGCCAGCCCAGAAGGATATATTTTGCAACAACGGATCATAAAACCTTGGTAACAGGGTCCCAGAAGAGCCATGGTCTCAGCGGGGGCCTGGTGACCATGCTTTGGTTTCTCTGGTCCTGAGGGCTCAGGGAGGGTTCCCACCCATGTCCAGTGCTCACCAACATCAATGAGATCCTACATGGGAAGCCATGAATGGGTAGAACTAGTGAAGTCCATCTTGTTATGAAAATGTGTGCTAATGGTACGCTTTCCCCAGGATTAGAGCCTTTCTTTCTTCCTGTGCAATGGAGGAATTTCCTAAGACCCTCCAGTTCTTGCACAGGCAATCCTCCATTTAGTTTGTGGCAAAATAAGGATTCTCAGAAAATGGGATGACCAGGGTAGTTCAGGCCAGAGGGAAGAAAAATGCATCTTTCATAAGACCCTACAGAGTTCGTGGAGCACACGCCATTTTAATCCAGCTCTTAAATCCATAACAGCCTTCTCTCTCTAGAGTTACTTCTGACTCTCCTTCTCTTCTTGTTGCACTTGAGAGGAGAATTTGGACTGATGGATTTTGCCATGGTACAGCAAACGTCTCGCACACTTGTCCTTTAGAAGAAAATGGCAAAGCATTAATTGCTTTTGTTGAGGCATTAAACTGACAGCTCTGGAGTTCCTCTGTTTATCCATAAAGCAGGTATACCGCAGATGGTAAAATATATAATCTTTCCTATGCGGCCCTCGAACATACTCAGCCCTGACTCTAGGAATGGGCAGGTCGACTGACTTGTCCTCCCAGACTTTGATTTCCACGGAGACTGCTGTGGGTTGCCAACCGTTCTTCTGCAAAAATCTGCCCAACTTTGCACACAAGATGATCCCTCAGAGCAGGAGGCCATCACTTTCAACTTAAAAATTAATCACATTAGGTGAAACAGCACCATGAATATAGACCCCGTAAAGTTTAAGGAAGTCAATGGCCTTCAGTCTCTCAGTAGCACTAAGCTCTAGTGTTTAGATAAAAGCAAACCAACAAGGAGTACTGGTTTGGGTTCAACACACTTTCTATGAAGCACCTGCCACTGGACCACTGGCTGAGCTACTGATCAGAAAGCCGGAATATTTGATTTTAAAAATCTGGGCTTAATTCAACTCTTTGATACCTAAGCCTGTCAGTGCTTTAGTGAAGCCAGTTTAACAGCATAACTGGCAACCCTTTTGGAAGCTTTAATATGCATTATCCTCAATCTTCTGTAACAGCTTTTTAAAACTTTTTTTTTATGAGGATCTCACTTAGACCAAGTCAGCAACAAAATGTTCGCTGAAATTTGCCCAGCACTCTGGAGGGGAAATGCATTGCTGTATCATTTCTTATTGCTGTTATGTCACTTAATTTCCCAAGGAGGGACTACAACTAGGAAGAGAATTGGGATGACTTCTCAAAGGACCCATCAGTCCCTCCAGAAACACAGTGTGTTGCGTCCTATCCATGCCTGCTACAAAAGGCAGCTGCTCCAGCTTTGGTTTAGCCTGAGGGGTGATTTTCATAGCAGTAGAAGGGAATGATGTATCAGATAGAGAATCCAAATTCTAGAAATCATTTTTTCTGCATTTCAGGAGATAGATACCCTGAAAAAACAGATATACGCTCTCAGTTATGTGAAGAACACATAAAATTCCACATCGATGAAGAATTTTGCTTTAATCGATATGGATTATAGAGTATGATTTGAATAAATTAATACAGACAATTATGTACCAGGACAGGCTGACATTGCAAGCAGTTCCCAGAGACACTAAAAAGAAGTGTCAACACCCTAAAGACAAAAATGTGGTCAAAGAAACATTTTTTAGTCATCCGTAGTAATGCATTTCCTCAGCTCCTGCTCCAAGTTCACTGTGGCCCTGTTAATGCTTCAATGTCTCTCCATGCCTGATCAAAGAGCCGTGTTACATCTCAGCCTGTTAATTCACCCTGTGGTTCAGATCCGCAGCCGATAGGAATCTGTGTCCTCCCCTTGAATCCTGTGTGCCTGGTTTTCATCTAGCGCAATGACCCTGACTCCAGTGTTACCCCACTGGTTTACATAGATAAAGGGGTCTAATTCTGTATAGGAAAAACTGAGACCAGAATTATGAATCACATTCCCCTGTGCCAGATAGATATTTCTGTGGCATTACACAGAGTAAACCACTTTTCTGAGTAGGACTGTACCAATAGTTAATGATGTCAAAGGGATTTTTCAAATTGCCTTTGACAACCTTTGGACCAAACCCTAAACTAATCGAATATTTTTTCTTTTGTTCTTCAGACTAAGGAACATTTGACTATGATAATAACGTCAGGGGAAGTTAGTAAAATGGCATACTGTGTGTTCAGTGACCTGCGCAGGGCAGCATCCTGAGGTTATCAAGCGTTTATAGCTTACCATTTCAGCTTTGATATGTTAGTAAACTTGACTCTAACTCCCCAGCATATGAGAGGAGTGGATAGTCCTGTCTGGATTTAAACGTACAGAACAGCCCTTTTGTCTGTATGTGTTCCCAAGTGCTTTCTTGCCGGGCTTTTTGCAGTACTGATCTTGTTGATATTTTTCCCTTGCTGCATCATAGCTAGAAACCATCTTTTTTTGCCACCCTACAACGACTGATTTTCTTTAAAGACCATGGTGGTTCCACTGGAAGATGGTAGTAGACTCATGGCTTTTCCCCTCACGTATGTTATTCTGCATTTCATAAAGTTGGCTCAGAGGTAAAAAGCTTGACAAGAAAATAAGGTGGTCAGCTACAAACTGTGTGTTTGGTCTCACTTCTTCTGCCTCAGCTCATTTTTATTTCATATTTTGGCCCAAACATTGCACAACATCATCATAAAATACAGGGATTTATAGCACTGAGTAGCTGGGTAGCTCAAATGAGCGTTGATCAGTGTAGATGTCACTGTGTTGTATGGGTATGCTGGACACCACAGAGCAAACTGATTTTTGTAATCTGCCATCCCAGTACGTAGCTGCCTTGGGGCAAAGCAGTGCCTGCTTTGCAACAGCCACTCACCACTTCTTCTTGCTTCCTCTGTTGTGCTAGGACTGAAAAAATCGGCTTCTTGCAAAGCTGCGTTACAAAATTAAGAAGCAGTAACAGATTTGGTTTTCCTTGCCGACGTTCCCTGGGAACAGCACCAGGGCTTAGGGTTAGTCTCCAAACTTATCCTAGCCTTCTTGGGCAAGTAGGGCACGGTCCTTTGGGGACATCGGGTTTGTCCCCCAGGCCATGACCTACATGTCAGCATTCAGGATGCCTTGTACTGCTATAGGGCTGCCCCGGCTGGACGGCACTCTTCTGTCTCTAGAGTGGAGCCAAGTCTGTATTTTCCTAATATCTAACAGAACAGAGCCAACTATGACAGGAGTCCATACGTGTGTATACAGTAATAATGCTTAAATGTGGAAGCATCCTTTTCCTAAGTAAGGAATAACGGATTTGCTGTATCAAGAGAACAGAGTAAAAAGCATTCTTTCACTGAGAAAAAATATTTTCTATCTCTACCCACTAGGCAGGTTCTGGTAAGCAAGGGAGTCTAATTGGATTTTTGGGGTCTATTAAATCAGAGCAGTGCAAGTTCGATTTCAAAGATACTGATGATTTGTCTTTTCGATATAAAAATCTCTCACTCCCTGAATGCTGCATTCTCTTAAAAGTACCTAGGGAATGGGATCAGAGTAACCAACCAGCTGTTTAGATCACAGAAGAATTTTCAAGGTCTTTTGTAGTCAGATTACTGAAAATAATATTCAGCTCATTTTAGAAGAACTCCCTTGACTACTCAGTGCTAGTTTTAGAAACTTCTCTATTTGGACAGGAAGGTATTGTAGCATCTGAATAAAAGACAGGTCCAGAGAGATGCCGAGCTCTTCCAAGAAGCACTAGAGTCCTACGTAAATTCATTGGTAAATTCAGCAGTCCCAGTTCTGCTCCGACTTTGCCGTTTGCTGTAATTTAATACTGAAATTCCAGTGGCATTCACGATAGGCTGGTTCAATATGTTAGGAAGACTCAAGCAGTGCATAGGTCACACAAATACGGCTCGGGAGAGACAGGGCTGATATTTACCGATGGCTTGGCCCTGAGCAAATCACTTCCCTTCCCTCCGCCTCTCTTTCTTCCCACTCATCATCTGCCTTGTCTTATTTAGATCACGGGCATTTTGGGGCAGCAGGCTCTCCTGCCTTGTGTTTGTGGAGGTACCCATATGAGACTCTCTTCCATTTGTTGAATTGATTTCA